TGCGACATCGTCGCGTGCAATGGCAATCCCGCAAAATTGTTTTCGTAGCGCGTTGCCACCGGCTATACGAGTGTGTATGTGTGTGTACGCGTATATGGCAGCGGCGGCGACGATCATCCGGTTCGATGAAATCAGTGTGCGCGCGAGATTACGCGAAAATCACGCTGCGCGCCGAGGGAAAAGCGTGCAGAGAAATGGATATCGTTGATTGTCGAATTCGCTACTTCTTTTTTTGACTTTTTTTTTCGTTCGATGCATTGTGATGTCATAAATTATTGCTGCTGAGTACAGTGCCAAGCATCGACTGCTACGTTCTAGCTCACGTGGCATTGGCTGCAGCATTTTCTTGCAAAACCCTTCATTTCCCACGTTGTAAATGGAAATTAAGCTCCGCGGGCGAAAAATTAATATTTATGCGTGAAAAATAATTGTTCGCGCAACTGCCACTTCATATCTCGCGAGTGAAATTGAATCTCTCTGGAGAGCAGCTACATAGCTCTATAAATATAGCAGGAGCGCCAAAGTAAATTCGTAAGACAAGTCAGCAGCGGGCATTATTCACTGTGCTCTGTGCGCGCAAGCTTGTGTGCACAGAGAGAGAAAAAGAGAGGAGGGCAATCAAACGAGCATTACCATTTTTCTGATTATGCTTCGCTTACCACATTTTTTTTCTTTTTTTTTTTTTTTTTTATTATTCGTTCGCACCCTACCCCCGTAAAAGCACAGCACGGCTGCAAAATGCGTTTGTGACTCAGCGGTGCGTTATTACGAGCGTGCGATAAAAAATGGCAGGCAGGACAAAGCCACAGCTAGAGATATATACATATTATAACGTTATATAGTATGCCGAATGGCTAGGAATAAAATCGCGTGCCGTCTTAATCAAGAAATTTCGGCTTCGCGTGATGACACTAGTATATAGATATCGCGCCGCTAGCGAGCGTGCTATTTTGAGGGTGAATTATTCAAAAAAGCCACGCTGAAAGAATCTCCTAGTGTGCACCGTGGCATATTGTGGAAAAAAAATAATTATAATCCAAGGAGAATTTTTAAAGGGCGTTGTGAAGCAGTTGTCAACAAAAAAAGAGTTTTATAAAGAGTTATTAAAGTTGGAAAAAAACTGTTTGTAATAGTTTACTTTAGAAAACTTCTTTTAATATTTCAAGCAATCATTATTTTTTTGAAGTAGAAATAAATGCCGGCCAACTGAAAGTTGAATGTAGTTGAACTAGTATAGATTGAACAATTTTTTAGATTTAATTACTATTACTTGAGATTATCATCATTATTGAAGTTTTACAAAGTACTATACATAAGTACATGAAATAATTTTTTTTATCAATTTACGTATCTTTTCAAAATTCTCAAAAAACAAGCCTGATAATTTTCCCTTCTACCCTAAGACTTTAGTAACCTTGAGAAGTAATTTCCTTCTGTTCATATACTTAATCTTGTCCAATCATAATCAAACGACAATAATAATATACATATAATTATTTATACAGAGAGTTTATCAGCATTGCATACTTTATAAGAAAAACCATTACTTTTGTACGTCTAATCCTATAACTAATCGCGTCTAATCTATTGTCCAGTGTTGAAATTAACTTCCCATGTAGTTCGTCTCACCAATACAGTAATTCAAAAATGTTTCACAAAAATTTAATTATTTAAATCATTTCTACGACATGTATTTTTTTAACAATTTGGAATAGGAACTCTTATCATATCGATAGGATAAGCAAAACTGTACAGTTACTACAATTTAATTGCACCTACATTTTTAGTGCAAGCTCTCTTCGTATACTAGTGCACGTATAGGCCGAGACGAGGGCAGTTTTATTGTTCGAGTAACGACCAGATCCGTGTTGATAACCGACGTGGAAAACTTCGGCAGGGGTACTTTAAGTGCCAGGTTGAATTTTCCCCTTTTTCTGTTCGTTGTATACTTCTTTTCCCTTTCATTCGCTCGAACTCGACGTGAAGTGATATTAGAATCGTGCTCCGAAAATATATTCTTCAAACTTTAATGAAGTTACGAATTTTGACATTAATAAACTAGGCTTTTCCTATATAAAGTGAACGAGGTTATTAACTCAAGTTGGTCGACTTTTCATTCAAAATGTTCTCGTTCACGCGTTCTATCGAACGTGAAGAAATATTCCAAAAAATCGGCTCAAAACTCTTTTAATTGATTTCTTTCCTAAAAAAATAGGAACGAAATATTTTCATTTTCATTTAAACGTAAAGAAAGTCGTATCTGTTTTATCGCTAAAATAGCAGAGCTGCAGTCGTATATGCAGAGGTACAGGCAAAGAATTATATATCGACGTGTAGTCACATTAATTCCGAGCACGACTCGTTGCAATGCTCAGCGAAAGAGAGACGGAGTTTATTCTCTGACGATGCCCTCAAGCGTTTGGTTAAATTCACACGCGAGAGTCATAGCTATATCCATGCCGTTCGTGTGGGTATGTTTTATGTTCTTCGCACGCAATGAATTCGTCCTTCGTCAAAAGCTACCGAGTGAGCGCTCTGTGCGCTCATCATAATTCATCCTCCAGGTTGACTAATGCCATTCTCCGTGCCATACCAAGTCGCAAAAATATATGTGTGTTATATAACTGTATATACATGTAGGTCACTCGTGCAGCTCGAATTGATTAACGAGTAAAGAGCCAGAGAGCACATATCGATATAATCATATCGACGTACCTGCATATACATATATTTCGTAAAAAAAAGACGGATGTGCAAGGGCTGTTATGGCTTTTCCCAACGAAATTACATGGATAAGCGAGTCAGCGAGAAAAATTTACATCAAAATGTAGATTCGTTCTGTTTTATGACTGCCGACTTAATATTCATCGACATTCATAAATTCAACGAATATATGAACTATTTGACGAATTTGCGTGTTGGGACATTTAATTGTCATTTCTATAATGCATATATCGATATTCCAACCCATACCGTGATTCACATATATATCAAGTATAGCTTTCCGCTGACTTATTGCAATTTCAAAATCACGTCGAATCGTGCTTGATGCCGCTCGAGGACTCAAACTTGGTTCGACCATTTTTATTAATACTAAACAATTAACAGCTTCACATATGTGACGTGACGAGTAAATTTCCAACATAGCAGAATCGATCTTGGAAAAGAAAATAACCCTGCAGTATATATAAACGAATAAAGTAAAGTGTATTGCTTCTCTCTCGAATTAATACTTCTTTTCCCATTATATTTCCTACGGAAAGTATATTTTTTGCGCATTGTACGTAGGGGAACGCAAAATATGACGCGCGCAGGTCTATGCAGTACGTGTGACTCGTTTTTCCGCAGACGCAATTCCACTCGAGAACTCGGACGCGGCGTGCGAATCTATATATATGTAAGGCTATACATATATGCATACATGCAAAGCTTTATTGAGACTGCACGAATATCTAAGTTGCGCTTGCGCGAATACTGCGTACTTTTAGACCGGAATTTTCAACAATAAATCTTTTTTATCACAGGCCTATTGATATATCTGACGATGAACGATGATGTGTCAGCTGTAAAAAATTATGACCTATGGTTTATAGGTTTACATTTTTTCCGATTCTTTCTCTTTTTTTATAGTTGCAGGGTAAATATTTTTCCCATCGCTGTAAATACTTTATGGGATTTAAAAATACAATTTCAGATTCTGAGTGATATCGAGTCGTACATGGTGTTTACGTATAAATTCGTATTTATAGAGCTTGAACAAGCACGCATAAACCTACAGCGTCGACCAAAACGTGGCCTGTTCAACGCAAGAAATATCCGCATCAAAAAAAGGTTGACGTATCGGCCGAAAATTAGTGAAAGCCGATGTGCGTGAGTTGCGAGTGGAAAATCGAGCGGCAGATACCAATGATGTGTGTGTGTGTGTGTGTGTGTGTGTGTGTGTGTGTGTGTGTGTGTGTGTGTGTGTGCGTATGTATATAGATTTGCGACTCTTTAATCAAGAGGAGTAACACGGTAGTGGCAAGCCACAAGGGTCAAGTTGCACTGCATACAATCCGCCCACCAATATACAGTGAAAGAGAGAGAGAGAGAGAGAGAGAGAGAGAGAGAGAGAGGCCAAATGTGTCGCTCGCTTGAAAATTCCTCCTTGCAACGTTTGGACGGGATGATTCCCCACTGCGGCAACGGAATATATATGCGTGACAGTCGATACATTACGATCCGTTCAGATATACGTGCGAAAGTATATGGAAAAGCCGCGCGCACGTCGTATACTAGCAAAACTTATGATTGTAAAATGCGTATGTAACTCGCTGAAGGGGAAGCAGAGATGAGCTGCCAAAAATACGCGAAAATTTTCATTTGCATACATCGGACATAGGGAGTTAGAGGGAGAGGGAGAGAGAGAGAGAGAGAGAGAGTAAAAGAATCATGTATATACGTACAAAGCACATGGCAACAGATTCCTCTCTGTCTCTCTTGCTCGGTCTTTTTCTCGCTTCGCAATAAAACGCTTCGCAAGTGCGCCCGCGATTGAAAATGTTTTCAAACTCTTTTATTGTGCGTTTGCATTTGACCTCTTTCTGTATAGACATGACACACACTCCTGCTCTGCCTCCATGAAAGAATATATATATATACATAAATATACATTTAGGACCGCTATAGAATTCTGTCTGTTATTACTTTTTTACGTAAAAGTGCATGTATGGAATAATTTTTTTTAAGAGATACTTTTTCATCGACTGCAGTGTACGCTTTTTTAAGGCTAGAAAATACCACGTACTATGCGCGCTACAGTATTTGAAAAAATCTCAGAATTTTTTGTAATATTAATAATATTCCAAATTTTTATATTTACCAAGCTTTTACAACTGATTTTAAAAAATATGAATATAAAATGTACACATAGCTAACAAATATTTAGTTTACGTGGAACTATTTAAACGAAAAAAAAAAATATCTCGATGAATCTAAAATTGTATACGTCTATGTTACAGAATGTTCGTTTCCATCACGCTGGGAGGGTACATGGTTCCAGAGCGGAGTCCGCCAATCGATACTCATATCGAAAAACATCCTCTCCAGCAAAGGAACCTGCCTCCACAACGAGGGTGATAAATTTCTCTTGGTAGACGAGTGAGTATACACAATTTTTTTTCAACATATTTTAGTCTCACCCCCGTTCTTTGCTCAAGAAGGAGAAAATAAAAATTCAAATGAATATCGACGTTGCACCGCGAAAATAAATTTCAGCGAATAGTTCAAATCAACTCGTTCATTTTCCGAACAGACAAATCGTTACGAAACCAGCTCTGGCTTCCCTCATAAAACTCTTTAACCCCTTTCCGCAGCTCAAAACCTTTCAGACAGACAAGTACAAGGTAGGCGCTACAGCGCCATGCACGTACGAGCCATTCGACTGGAAATTTGACTTTAACCTTCCAGAGGGGTAACGACTACAGGAGGATTAAAATCGTGAGCGATTGGCGGTGTCGTGCTTGTGTTGTTTTAATGATCGACAAAGAAAGACTTTTTTAACGTAAAGTAAAAAACGCACCAAGACGCCGCTAAAAAAAGTAATCAGCGCTAGCGTGTCTTATCGGTGCTAACGCTTTGCTGCGAGAAAATTATTTTTTTTCACATGAAACGACGCGAAAGACTGCTCGTGTTTTTATAGATTGCTTAGGACAAGCGCGAGATGAGATTTTTCTCGATGTATCTTCGCGTGGTGTTTCATCGGATTTTTACCAAAGAAACTTTGTACGTTGCGATTTCTATGGGCAATGCACCTGCAATAGAAATCGTGTTTTCATTTTTCGAATTGAATATTCTTTGATAAAAATAAAATAGTACCTTCTAGTGTACACGGAGAGTAAATTTTATGCATTTTTTGTGATTCATACTTTTACTACGTATACGTACAGACTGAGAAGTGATTATAAATAAAACACGACCCTCGTGATTCCGAGCACGTTTTTGACTGGCTGCAGGCATCTCGTCTTTCTTTCTTGCCTGACCGAATGCCGACTCAATCTACTTCCTACATATTTTATTATGGTATCGAGTTGAGATAACCGACTGAATTCATTTCATATTTACAAGTTTTGTTTTTTCTTGGGCAAAGTTTCGCGTTCTACAAACTAACATGTGAGTTTAAAAAAAAATAATATCATTATTTACTGAATGTTTTGGAAAAAAACTGCAACATGTTGAAAATGAGAAACCTGTCGATAAATGAAGCATTTATTAATAATTTAATAATTCAATATTATTCATGCTGAAAAAAGAAGTTATTTTCAGTTTTTTACTTAATTAAATTTACTATCATACATTTAAGGTACAGTAGAATTTTGTTCATAGATATTTAAAAAAGTGTACCCCTTTATGAGTGTAAAAAGTGACACTTGATAAAGTATTATATTTATTATACCATTTATTTTTTAGAAATCAACACTGAATTAATCGGTATAATACTCACCTTGTTTACATAAAAATGAGCTTAGATATCATCTAATATTGCTACTTTATCACTTGCTTGCCCATTTTTCGTTTGTGCACTCTTATGAAAAGTATCTTTGAAAATTGCACTTCAAAGACAAGGCTACAACGTTAAACTCGTAAGCGCATTTTTTTTCTCCTACTTGATTACTCTCGAAGCATAACAAAATGAGCATGAGCTCTCGATTCCCGATTAAATTGCACGACTACAAATTATATATATTTATAAGGAACGCAAGTATATATGTATGTAACTATGTATACATTAATCTGGATAATTGATTTTCAAGCTATGCAAGCCATCTATGCAGATGAGTAGGAGAAGCAGCTTGATGCGAAACGCGAACGCGAGGAGAATCACGCAGAACCGTGGTGAATTTGATTATCCCTTGAGAGTCTTTGACTCCCAAAGTATATACTATATTTCCGTATATATACTCGGATGTGCTGGCAATATACATGTATATTTAGTTTATTGAAGGAATGCAACGGAGAAACGAGAGCTAAGTCGAGTTCTGCGTATAGGAACATGTACTCGTACAAGTATATATGTAGGTGTTAGAGAGGGCTCTAGTATTTATTACTCAATATTCTGATGGAAGCCAGGCTTGAGAAAATAAATATATGTTAATTTGCGAGTTATGTGCATTTTAGACCTTTAGCTGAGATGTTAATGAAAATATATTATAATTATTTAAAGATTCTTTCAACTTTACTATAACATTGTTTTATATTTTTCAGAAAATCTTGTTATCGATGCGTTGTTATACACGAGAAACACTCCAACGTTCTACAGTACAAAGAAAGTAAGTATATCATTTATCATTAGTTTTTCATTAATATTTTTTCATGTGCTTAATTAAAAGTTATCGTTCGCCGTGAAACACAGATCAAAACGTGATAGGTATTGAAGTCAAACTAAAAAACCAACAAAATATCGACACACATTTTTGAAGCTATAATACTGGTATTTCTGGCAGTCTGGCAGACTTGAATCTTATTGAAAATTTACCGAAATGAGTGAGCTCCCATCTCCCTTCAGCTCAGTTTTTCAAACCACATCTAAATAATGCAAGCCCTTGCACATACTTGCACATACTTGCCCTTCAGGAAAATGCAAATTATTCACTGTCCATTAATAGTACAGCCCGCCCTGCTTTTCCATTCTCTCTTGGCAATGGGTGATGCACACAACGAGCACATCTGACTCTGCATTTCTGTCGCGCAATAAGCTATTGGGCATCGAAGTCTAATGTATATAGCTACACCAATATGGTGGCGTACCCCCGGAGATTAACTCGCGTTTGATACAAATAATCTCGATTAAATGCATTCTCGTCGTATTAATTATCCGCGAGTGGAATGTAACAACTCTAATTCACGTAAAATTCAATGAGGAGTCCGAATATCGAATTATTTTTCACCTAAGCCTCCGGCACATCCGTGAAAATTGAAAATTAAAGCGTTTTTTGCTCATATCTCGCGATCCAAGCAAGATACGGAAAAATTAATTACACCATTCGATTCCCCGCAAAATTATACATGGACATGCACTAAAACATTTTCAAGTGTCGGTGCAAAATTTCGAGTTCTGCGCCGTTGAACTTACCGGCCGCCCCGAACGGCATGTTTTAATTTTATTAATATTGTCAACAATTTTACACCGACACTTGAAAATGTTTTAGTGCATGTAAAATTTTGCGAGGAATCGAATAGTGTAATTAATTTTTCCATATCGTGCTTGGATCGCAAAATATGAGCAAAAAGCACTTTAATTTCCAATTTTCACGGCTTTTCCGGAGGCTTAGGTGAAAAATAATTCGATACTCGGATTCCTCGTTGAATTTTACGTGAATTAAAGTTGTCACATTCCACCCGCGGATAATTAATACGACGAGAATGCGTTTAGTTGATATTATTTGTATCAAACGCGTGTTAATCTCCGGGGGTACGCCGCCATATTGGTATAGCTATATTACTATATCTATATATGTAAGGTTTGACGCCCAATATGAAATAAATAAATGCAAATGCTTTGGACTATTCAAAATGGTATGTTCAAACAAAATATAATCGATGCAATATGCTCTTGTTATACTTGCCCGAGAAAAGTGCTGCAGTGATTCATTTTTTTGAATGTTGTCGAATTTTCATTGGTTTTTAATCAGTCTGCTAACGTATGCCACACAAACGTCCAATATCGGTTTTACAAATTTATGAGAGAAAGAGCAGAGTAGAAAAAGAAAGAGGATAAAAAACAGTTGCAACTGCTGCAACGTTGGAAACGCAAAGACAGAGAGAAAGAGAGAGAGAGAAAGAGAGCAAAAGGCAGAGTAGCGATACTAGTGGCGGCTAACACAACATCGCACTTTTTCGGATTTTTTGGTCCTATAATATATATGCGTGCGCTTCCGTTTTATTTTTCTCGTTCTCTTGCAGAATCGCGTGTTTACGACGAGCAATACGCGAACTTCAACCAAAACGAGCGAGAATAGAAAAGGAGAGGGAGCTTAACGCGATAGCAAAAAACTACTCGAGCGCAAGCGAAACAGAATGTGTATACACGTATGCGCACATGCCATGCATTTTGAGCGACGTGCCAACTTTTCGAGAGCGATCCTTTCGATAAATATTCATACGTGTAGCTGTAAGATAATATTCTCGATGTGTTGCGGCCGCATTTCTACTTCGAGTGGACTTTTTAATAGCGTAACTTTGCTTATTCTGTAACGCTTTTCACTTCCATCTTTGATGCAACGCTCATGAGTATTTGTACACGAAGAGATCCGAAGCCAAATAAAGAAAAGACTCTTCTTGTCGGTCCGAAAACGATGATTCACGAATGATTAACGATATAAACTAAGCGAAAGAGTATATGGTTGCGGCTTTCTTAAATGATTAAAAGCCTGTCTTTCTCTACCGTTTTTCTATTTATTTCCTTCCGCGTATGATTTATGACATATTTCTCATCGATAAAACATTTTGCTATTTATATATCAGCGCAGTCATTTAGCTATTTTTCTCTCTTGATATTTTCGACCAAGGGAAAAAAGGCACGTCAGCTTCGGTAATTTGGAACGAGCTCCCTACACCGCAAAATCGATCCACATTTAAGCGAGCGAATGCAGTCAATTAAAAAAATTATTTTCTTTTCTGAAGTTTACAATGGAGTCACTAGCAGTTCAACTAACTGCAAGCTCAGCGAAGCTTACAAGTGCTCGGAGCTGCGCTGAAGCAATAAACATATAAATGGCATTTATTATACATATATTAATAATATATATCTTGTCTGCTTCGTGATTTCAGCATACTGTCATGGACGCAGCAGCCTGTCATCCTTGTGCTCGTACATAACCGGAGATGCCCTGCTATTCTCCATGTTTCGGGAGGAGGCGACCTCGGTGCCGTGTCCCTTTCACGGCCCCATGACTTTTACGTACAATCGAGGACACGGCAGGTGTTCCAGCCCTCTGAGCAACGTCGATACCTGCACCGATGAAAGCAGACTGCTGTTCCGTTATCAAGCCTGTCCCGACGTGCCGGCTTCCGAGAGTACAGGTAAAAGATCGATGCTTTAGCTATTTGACTGATTAATTTTCTCACAAAGTTTTCGAAATTACCAAAAGTTTCGCTTGATCATCAAGCCTTGATGCTTGTTTGTAAAAAATAGAAATAGCCTAGGCGGGGTGAGCAAATGAGACACTACATCGCACAAACTCGCGGTCAGTTTGATTAACAAACCATGACGTGGCCGATTGAGACTGGTAAACACTTGCTTAATTGACTGTGCAACGAGGGAATCGTGCATATGTACATACGGAAATCACATCAAAAGCAACTGTACCATCGTGTACTTGACTTTTCGCAGTTTCAAGCCACGATCGTCCGTTTCATTGGACGTAGGAAGCCTTGCGTGATACGTACGTGCCACATTGCAGCAAAGTCCACATTTTTTTCGTAAAACTTTGTGCGCATGTGTGGCTAGTCAAAAAATTAAATTCTCAGTTTAATTCAAGCAAAATGATAAATTGACTGAGATATAAGTGGAAAAAAATTAAAAATTTTGATTGGAATTAAGCCCAGGCTTGGCAAAATTATTTCTCCTTATATTACAAGAGTATAGGGGAGATCCGCCTATGCTCGCGCATCACCTATTGTGGCGCACTTTTTATCAACAATGATAAGATATGTATGCAGGTTTATAAATGATGCTTAAGTAATTTGTTGAACAAACATTCAAACAATTTGTATCAACAAATTACTTAAGCATCATTTATAAACCTGCATACATATCTTATCATTGTTAATAAAAAGTGCGCCACAATAGGTGATGCGCCAGCATAGGCGGATCTCCCCTACTATCCACAACGTAAGACAAAAATATAGGCTCAGTCATAAAAAGTGGATTTTCAGATATTATTTAAATTTTTATGAGTATAAGCTGAATAAAAATATAATACAATACATTTAATTCCGACGTTATAAAAATTAAGAAAATTGAAAGTTGGATGAAATGAAATAATTATTTTTTGTAATTTCCTACAATTCTATCAAATTTTAACCTATGACCCTATAATTAGATTTTCAAAAATATCTCTATCGACTATACGAAATAATGATATCTTAATTAAAACCTAACTCAAAACTTACACAAATTTTGGAATTATTTATCAAAGTGAATAAGTAAATGATCAAAAATTGACCGGCAAACTGACTATGCTTATTGGTTAAAAATTTATCGAGACGAGTAAACTGAATTTTTAAGAACAAAAATGCGATTCCGAGTGCAAATTTTCAAGACCAAGTTCTGCGAAGCCAATCATGAACGTTAATCACGTTATATATTTTTTAACTCTTGCAGAAACTCCCCTAGGATCTACTGTAGTTCCTTTATCGCAATAATATAACATGCCACCTTACACGCTGTACTTGACTCTTTTCGTTTATGCAATAATAATTGTTGCGAGTGGCACTCATGGGGATTTTTCACCATTTAAATGAGAAAATTTGCGCTGAGTCGATTTTTCTTCGGATGCACCGAATGAAATCGCACAAAATCATGACTTTATAAATTCAATTAAGGAAATTACAATATCCTCTTAATCCAATGTCGAATGTATTTGTTCGACTGTTTTTAATGAGCTTTCTGAAAACATTTAGGCTCTTGTTTCTACTTCATTGTTCATCGTGATTAAGCTTTTTTTTCTTGAAAACAACATTTCCAAATAGGGTTTTGCCTGCGTCTCTTTTACATCATTATAAGCTCGCAGGCTCAATTATTTATATAACAAGATTCGTAAAATTTAACGATTTATATAGAGATTAAAAATTTAAATTGAAAAAAATGAAAGCACGTCATAAATTCGGTATCCGATACTTTTTGACGATCAATTTAAATGTATACATCAAGCAGGCTTCATACATCATTCAAAGGAAGGTAAAAAAAACCATAGCAGCGATATAATATACACCTTGGCACGCACGAGTTAGAATAAATCTCAGGGAAAGTAGTACTTCATCATGGCGTGGAGTAAATTTTTCTTTCCCTGGTATAAATTTTACCGATCGATGGGTTTTTTCAGCCTCTCTCTCTCTCGTTCTCTTTCTCATTCACTCGAGGCTCGCACGCGCCTGTTATATCCATCTGATACATAGGAAATGAGCGTAAAAAAGCATAAAAGTCCCGGCACCTGTTTTTCTTTCACGCGGCACGACCGCGTGGTTGTTATCCCCGACAAGTTTGACACTCTCAGCCTCACACCTACATACACATACAGAGGAACTCGTATTCGCGCGCGTCCTTACGTACCTCTATAGATCTCGATTATTTCTGTTCCGACTAAGCGGGCACGCACTTCTACGTGCGCCGATAAGCGCGCCTGAGACGCTACGTAGCTAGAAAAAGAGAAAGAGAGAGAGAGAGATCCTAAAGGAAATGAAAAACGCGAGCGACTCTACGTCGGGCTTACAAAGGAAGTTTAAGGAGCTACTACTGCTGTTACCGCCACCGCCGCTACTGCCAGCTGCTGCGCTGTTTCGACCCTTTTTTCCCTTGTCCGTATATAGACTTTTTCTCCTTCTATCTCGTTTGCGCGCTTACTCTCCCTTCCAACTTTGCTTTTCTTTTTCTACGTAGGAGAGACAGAGAGAGAGAGAGAGAGAGAGGGAAAGATGGAAGTGGCGAGATAAAAAAATCCGAAACGAGACTTTGGGATGGAGAAAATCGTGGCAGAGAAAGACTAAGAGAATTTAAATGACCGATTAAGTACGTGTTTGGAATCTATAGGTGCCGTTATTATACGCCTTTCTGAGATTTCTGTCGGATTGAGTTAACAGGATTTTTCGATGGCTATTGTACAACTGTCGATATACCTCACTCGCTTATGTCCGTTTTGGTTAAAAGTTATTTTACAGATGTGTTATAGATTAAAGAAATTTTGAATAAGCTGAAAAAGTATTATGAAACATTGTAGGGATCTTTGATTAAAAACAATACTTCAATGAAATTTATATAATACACAAAAGATATAGAAATTTTGAGGATAATCATTGCAATGGACAAAATAATCGTCAAAATATTATAAATAGGTGTAAGTAAATGAGCATTGCTATGCTGTTACAGTGGAGGAACTGGAGTGCCTGGCGACGTGGAAAGAGGGCAGCAATCGCTACTTAGTTGGACGTCTGCATAACGGACACTCCCTGAGCAACGAAGACCGCTATCGCTGCTTCGTGTACGAGCGAGGTGGACAAAGCGTGGCCGGACTGAACCGGGCGGCTGCTGCGGCACTGGGCATCGCCACGGTCATAGATCACGACCTGCCGGCCAGCGGTACTCTGGCCGAGGGCTCGTCCGAGATCTACAAGGTCGCTCAGAGCGGAGATGCTACCTGCAACGGACTGTCCAGTCCGCTCGAAGGCTCGAGGACGATGACCCTGACCAAAGGTCAGTATGTCCCAAGCTCTAATTCAGAAACATAATTCAGCTATTCTTTACCATGAGGAGCTACTTTTCACTGAAAATAATTTAATTGACAAAACTTTGACTACACTCGATACTTTTTTTATGGATTATTTGCCGAGAACGGTTAAATTGCATCGCGATGCGAGTAACGAGCTTAATAAATGAAACCTATTATCGAATATCAATGTACGTAAATTCAATTAAAATTTTTCGGTGTTACTTTCGTAATTGTTTACGAAATATCTGTTAATACCTACGTTATGCAGTCTAATTTTAGCAGCTATAATTCAGTCGTTTTGATGTTTCATACAATTTAATTTGATCAGTACGAATAATTGATTAAATGGTCCCGACGATAGTACCAAGTTACATCTGGTCAAAATAATTATCAGTTTTTGTCGATCGATATTATACTTCTGGAAACTTGGGATAATGAGATGGTCTTTGCGACCGAAAACACAACTTTTACACCGCCTTCGATATTACTCTCCGTCTGAACTCGCAGCCCGTACATATAATGCGAGCGCCACCTCTATAACTTCTTTACGGTGCCGTGAGAAACTCAAGGGAAATTCCCTCGCGCGTTAAAAAAAATAAAATGAAAATAGAGCGTGTATGGATCGGTAGAAAAAAGAAAAACTCCGTGTATCCAAGATTGGCATGCGTGTGTGGGTGTGCGTTTGCACTCTTTTTTGAGTACAAGGAAAAATAGCACGGAGAATAGAGAAGATGGGAAGAAAATATAACGCGTACCTATGCGTGTACGGAGAAAGAGAGAAGAAAAGGTGACGGTCGAGCGGAGACGATAAAGAGTATAAGGTTGTACGCGATGCCGTATAACACACGTACACAGGCTGCTGCCGCCGCTTCTCTATACGCTCCTTTTACGATTCCCATCGTCAGAGCTGAACACACGAATTAGCACCTCCTTTAGCCTTCCTCTCGAGCAAGCTCCGGCTCATCATAGACGACTTTTACGATCAGCGAAATTTGTACCTTTGCCACATTTCTACTTTTTTTTAAGACTAATTCCTCGTAGCTATGCGAATTTCGTTATTTAACGCAACTTGCGTTAAACAATTTCGAGTCAAAAGAATAAAATAAAATAAGAGAATGATTTTTACGCGGAACTCGTGCGGTTGTTTGTTACACTGCGCGCTCTTTGTTTCCGAGCGCATTTTTTCACTTCGATGTTTATACTCGAGCTTGGCTAAAGCTCTCTTGTAATGAACCGCAATGTTTTATTCAGAGAAGCTACCGGTACAACTCTGATTTTATTATCCAACTCTTTAAATTCAGAAACAAGATAAAAACCACGACTGCGCACACTAGACATGGTTGGACGGAAAAAGTGCACGAATTTTCTTTTTACTCATTGTATAGATCTTCCGACTTTCTTAAAAAGTTTTATGTATCATATGTCATGAAAATTTCCAACCAACGCATTATATCACAAATAATTTATTTTTTGTGAAGCTTTTTTGATAACATGCTCGAACAATTTCCATTAATTTTGAAATTGGAAAAATAATAATATCGAGTACAATTACATATTTTTATACAAGTAGTAAAACTTGAATCACGTGTTTTGTTTTACAGCGTCGTCACCGGGTAAATGCTGGTTTCCAACCTGGCTGACCGGCAAGACGAGTCTGATGTGGCACACCCTGGATTTGTCAGCTGCCTATACCTTCCACATGAGTAACGCCTCGCTCCAAACAGTCAAATCGAACGGCAGTGCTAGAAGTCCCGAGAGCCCCGCAAATTTCCTCAACCTACCTGGCCAAGAGGAGCATAACGTCAAGATACTCTGCAACAGCGTGAAGGTGGCCGATGTCGAGCAAAACATCTACATGATCGTGGCTCATTACACCGTTGGCTGGTGAGCCCAAGCACGTTTATAAAAGTCTTGTGTTTGAGGTGGTCGCGCTTACCTTCGATAGTAAAACTCCTGCAAAGATAATACGCGTCATATAGGCTCTAATCATCGACACTGATGACTGACGCGTTGAGTGATGATAGTCAATGACGCGAAAATTCACTAGTACATGAAAGTTTGCCAAGCTCGAATCAACTATCTATACGTAACGGGCCTTCGAATAATAATCCAGGCAGGCGTTAAGGGACATCAAGCGCATACTTGATTGCAGAGTTTACGGCCCAAGTGGTTCGAATCTACGTACAGACGAACGTCGCGCTAATACTTCTGCCCACCGTAAACTACTACTACTGTTGCTACTACGGTGGATCAAGCTTATATACATTTTCGGAAAATAGAGTCTGTATTTTAGTAATAAGCGCCTCATTTGAAGAATTGAAATTTATTACAAAATTAATTTTACGTACCACCAAATAAATTACATTAAACTCGATTTTTAGTTTAGCGTTTAGCATTATAAATCAAACATTAAATTTGCAATTTTAGTAAATACATTCATTTATACTTTTTAACTATTCATCAAAATTCAATTGTACAAGTATTAAATTGACTCGCAATTTTTTTTCTTTCATAGTCAAAGTGGCTACATGTGTATGGCTTTTTACAAAAGGGATGGTCACGTAGTCGAGCTACAAACTGGAAACACGGTCTCTAGAGCAGAAGAGGCATGCAATCCACCTCACTATCAACAGCACAAAGTACCTTACGTCACTCTAGTCAGTAAGTAGTATATGTTTATGTAATATTTATACACAGTACATATTTATTTGTCAAAAAATTAATATTAAAAGAAATTCATCAAAAACATTGAATATAGTTATACATTTAAATAAAATGTAATATATTTTAATGTACTTTGAAGGGAAATTAAATTTATAATATATGTATAGCACATTGATATGTAACATAAGTATTATTGTTCAAATCAACTATTGATGGATTTTTGATTAAAAAACAAGTACCACATAAAAATTCGTAATTGCAAAAGTATTGAGAAAAAATCAAAATCCAATGCATTCACGTATGTGAAAAATTATATTTTCTAGCATCGAGCCAGGTAAAACAATCAATATGTATCAATTATCATAATCCATAATTATGTATAATGCAAAAATTCATTCAATTTTTGCATTATTGTACACTTTTTTTGCATTATATTACATCTTTTATTCTTATCTCAGTAACACTTATAATTTTGAAGTACAAAATTGAAAGCAGCAAAAACAAACATATTCTTAAAATAATAGAAACTTTCATACTATTATCCAAATATATTTCATTCGGTTCGAAGAAAAACTCGTATCTCGTGTAATCTCAAGTAAACCAAGAGTAAAAGTCACGCGCAGAGCTTCTTTCCCGCGTAATCTGGCTTACATAAAGAAGCGGTTAGAAAGAGAGAAGGCAAGTACAGAGAAGCGTAGTATTATGTTTTTAAATCAGCGCTCGCCCGCTATAAATACTCTCGCACGTAGCATAGGATCTTGGCCCTCCAGCGTGCCATTTACATAAATATTCCCGAGAACTCACCCTTTTCGCCTTTTTTCCTTTTTTCTCCGCTGTACTGACCATCCGAATACATGTCTACATACATATACCTGTACACGCAGGTACACGATGAAGGCGTACTTTTCAACCAAAGGCTTTTCATCTTCTCTTTTGGACATCGTAGCTTGCTTTCTTTGCTAGAGTTAGCTTCGCGCACAGCTGATAAAGCGCGTAGAGAAATGCTTTACGCGAAAATTTCACCGTCTAGGTATTCGTGTAAAAATATGTTAATCCTTGATCTGGGAGATCGTAATATTCACCAGGAAAAATATAAAGGCGTGATAAAATAATGTACGGAAAGTTTCTGTAAATTTAAAATATTGCTGGCAAACAACTGCACCGGTGTACATAAATCGCCATTAAAAAACCGCGAATATTTTTCAATCTTTACAAATCGGCGTTATATCAATGTTTGATTGAAAGAGCAAGCATAAAATAATGAAGTTACGTTAACTCCATTCACAATAAATTTTTTTACGCATCTCGCAATAGGATGTACTCAATTAAAATGAATTCGTTTGTTTTAATTTTATCTTCATTTTCTGTATTTTTGTGGCAAAATATTCACTGCATTTAATACAACCTTTGCAATGCAATTTACTATCCACGGGGCTTTAAAATCGTTCAATATTGTAATAATAACTTATGCAAAGTTTACAGTAACAAATTATGACCACAATGGCGTTTTTTTCATACTTAGCTGATTCCCATTGAATTCATTAATATTTTATAGTCTCTAACAGTCCGTTATCATCCTTAAAAAGTTCGAAAAAATACAAATTGAATAAGATTGAAAATATACGAAATATCCTTCGAGGCCCACAAAAGGAGCTTAGCCAGAATAATAATGTAATATATATGGATGACTCTCGTAAAATGGGATTATTACACGATTTAAAATAATATATCGAGTTAGCACTGTTGAGGAAAAGTGAAAAAACAGATGCATGTAACGGAATAATTCACATTTGTCACAGAATTTTACCTTCGCATACACGCACACATATACGTACATAAAATGAATTTAAGTTTACAATTATTCATCGATAAAAAAACGTACGGTTCTAATATAATAGCAAGATTATCTTAGATCTACCAAAGAAACGTGGCACAATATCTTCATTCATTTGCTTTCACATATTAATTTAAAACATTTGAACATTTTTCAATTAAATCACATTTCGCAATCTCATATTGTAAGGTAAAACCTCGAACGCATAGGAAGTAAAGTGCAAAAGAAGCGTTAGAGTTAGGTTTACCTTGATGCTAGACCCATTTTTCATATAAGTTTCGAAGAGGGAAAGAGAGAAAGAAAAAATAAGAAGTTGGCGTAAATTTGAATTTTGTGGCTAGGGTTGTCGAGGGGTTAGCTGCTGTCGTCGTTGAATGGACGCCGAAAAATAGACGTTGAGAGGGTGGTCGAGTCTGCAAGGAGAGCAGTAGAAGTAGCTGCGGCAGCGGCGGTGGCAGCAGCAGCAGCACATGGTGCAGAATTCTAACGATTTTTTCCACTACTGCACGAGCCTGTTAAAAATCTCTGGCAATACTATACTCGTCGGTTCACTCGTTCCATGCGGTAAAAGAGTGAGAGAGAGTTAGGCTAATAAAAGAAAAAATGCTAGAATAAAAATAAATTTTCTTTTTCTCCTTTCAGTTCGTCAGCTTAAAGAAAGGGGGGGGAAAGAGGGGGGGGGGGACTCGCCGTGAATCGATACCTATAATCGAGAATTTTTACAATTTTGTTCTTTGTGCGTGTTCGTGAAGTATAATATGAACTATTTCAAGTTTTTGCTTGAGAAAAAAAATATATAATAACAATTTTCAATTTATTTTTATTTTTTGACGTATAGAAAAAATACAAAAAAATTTTCTAAGTCTACTAAATTGTCGAGCAAATACTCGATACATCACATCTTCGAAAAACTAAGTTAAATACATAAATTTCTCAACTCGTCATTTTTGTTTACTTAAAAATGAGCCTACCGTGATTTGGCTTATACGTATTTACATATGCATCTGCAACATTCTCGTAATGCACAAACTGGTTTTGGTAGTATACAAATTAATATGTCTTGCATCATAGAATTTGTCGATTACAAGATCAAAAAGCTTATTCGAACACAAATTTGATTTGAAGCTATTCATCTCGGTGTTTTATGCAAAAGAAAAACATCAAAATAAAAGCACTGTTAGAGTTTGGATTATAATGGATCAAATCGTTAACATTTAAAGTGCAAAAAAATACACCAAAACTATCTGAAAATTGAAATGATTCACAGCTCATTCAAAATAATATGCATGAAAAAATATGCTACGTTTAATTGAAATCACCATACAAAGCTATTTTGAAAACTTCATATGTGCTTAGGGACTAATAGTTGGCTGTTAAATTGTCGATTTTTCTCCTATGGATATTTCTCTGTAGTCTCTCCCTTTCTCTTCTCCGGACTGACTCGACTACCTGCCAAAGAAGTCCTTTTTCCAAAGGACGTACCAGAGCAACTAAAAAATCTCGATAAATCGCGTTGTCGCTTTGTTCATCGGATCGGCCAAGACAGAAAATAGAAGGCAAAAAATGAAGAAAAAACGCTCGTGTGTGTGCACCAAGCACAGCAGCAGCAGCAACGGCGGCGGCGGCGACGATCACCAAAGCTCTCACTATACTTCCGACTTACAGGGCCCGTTCAATTCTCAGTTTCTATTCTCTTTCTTTTTCACTCTCTTTTTCATGGTCGAAGACTGCGACGACATTGGCCAAGAAAAAAAAAGGAACGAGGAAGCGAAAGAAGAAGAGCAGGAAGAGACGTGTCTGCCAGAGAGAATTTGTCCAACCACTTTCTTCTTTCATTCTCCATCATTATATCATTACAGCAATATTACGTGACCTACAGCATCGCTTATTTTTCTCTGATGCTCGTTAAAATTAGACCAAACAAAAATTCCCAATTGACTATCGAGTTTCGCGAAATTAATATCGAAAAAACATTCAAACAGATTAAAATGTAAATGTATGCATTTGAAGTTCCATCTTGCTTGATATGACTTTTCAATTTTTCTTTTTTTTTTGCTCACCTGATAGCTATGGAAAACTTTTTGCTAAGAAGCGGTGCTGGCGCAAAGGTTGAGAAAGATCGTTTCCCACGTAATTTTGCAAATAAATTGCCAATTCCAACGAGGAGTCAGATATTTGTGAAGCTTTCAAGCTATCTCGCAACTTTACAACCTATCGAAAGAAATATTATGCAGAATAACGCGTATGCATGTATACGCGAGTAAATTCCTGGATGTTTGAAAGGCTTTTTAATGCGTTCTCAACATATTGCCAATTAATGCTAGAAAAATTCAACTCGTATTGTATTTAATTTATTTATTTATTAAATATATTTATGCTATGCAAGGAGCTGTTTTCATTTAAAAAAAAACGGCCCGTATATTGAATTTCAAAATTATTATGCTAGATACATTCGTAAAAAAGGAAATTCGAAAGCATCGGTAAAAAGCGTCAGATTGAAAGAGAATGAAATAATTATACAAAGGATTGTAAAGAATCAAAATTGCCCGTGAAGCGTCGATGGACACTGCAGCTAGCTCAATAGATCTTACTTGTTAAATAGTGCATGTCGAGCTTTCCAAATAACTGGCCGCTGCAACGCGCGGCAGACGCGAAGCCAAGCTTTGGAAAGGAAAGCTACAGAAAAAGAGTCAAAACAGAATAAAGGAAAGTTGCACGCACTCGTGGTAGTATCTGCTGACGTAACCGCAGTAGTTTTTCCAGTTTAACCCAAAGATACAGTAAGATGAGTCGGACTCGAGTTAGCGGGCTTGTGCAGTAGCAGCAGTAGCAGTTCTGAATTTCACGCACGTAGAGAAAAAAGAGCTGCGAATCACTCACGTAAAAATGTGTGCTTGTGGATACAGAAAGTTTATCCTCCGCCTTCTTCTTTTTTCTCTACGGCTCATCCTCTTCTCGCAGCCGTTTGCAAGGAATAGTTTGCCTCGGATACAGATATACATTATATATAGCTTCTTAAGCCGTGTGAAAAATTCAATTTTCTTTTACAGCAAAATCAATTCAAACAGATTTGCATTCTTTTCTATCTAGATCCGACTATGCACGCGAATACAAATTCAAAATAAACAATTGGAAAGGCGCGAAATGGTTAAAGAAGAGCTCG